CTCACCTGTACAGCTAGTCAGTAAACATCCATCATTAAAAGAACAAATAGATGTGAAGAATTACCAAAAGTTTTATCTCACCTGTACAGCTAGTCAGTAAACATCCATCATTAAAAGAACAAATAGATGTGAAGAATTACCAAAAGTTTTATCTCAGCTGTACAGCTAGTCTGTAAACATCCATCATTAAAAGAACAAATAGATGTGAAGAATTACCAAAAGTTTTATCTCACCTGTACAGCTAGTCCGTAAACATCCATCATTAAAAGAACAAATAGATGTGAAGAATTACCAAAAGTATTATCTCACCTGTACAGCTAGTCCGTAAACATCCATCATTAAAAGAACAATTAGAAGTGAAGAATTACCGAAAGTATTATCTCACCTGTACAGCTAATCGGTAAACATCCATCATTAAAAAACAAATAGATGTGACGAATTACCAAAAGTTTTATCTCACCTGTACAGCTAGTCGGTAAACATCCATCATTAAAAGAACAATCTTGTTACTAAGTGGATCTCTACCTAATAAGGAGAAAAGAACTAATAAATAAGAAAAAAGCGTCTAAAATACCAAAAAAAAAAGATTGATATACCATATCATTATACATTAAAAGTTTTAAATATCTGACACCATATGTTCCAACATTATAGATATTTAATTAGCATTTCAGCCAGTGAGCAGATTAGTAAATTGCAACCTGGCTTCACTGGTTGAAAGTTGGGCAGTCCTGATCTGTGTTAAGCTTGAGGAAAAAGTTTGATTGTGCATTGATTAGTCTGCTTTTTTACAACACTTCAAAACATCTGTCCACTGCATGTTTACAGTATTGTAATAAATACTATAAGTAAAATACAAATAATACACAGCCTATTTAAAACGTGAATTTACAAATCTAAATTTTAACTAAGAAATCCTTCCAATACTAGGGGGCCAAGTGAGACCTGGCTGCAGGTTGGACGAGATCCAGTTTGAGACAGGTCATTTATGTACATCTTTCTTAGCAGGTTTTTAAATTTAAATCTGTGAATAACAGAATACAGACACATTTGAAGCCTATATTCACTGTGATATTTGAAACCTTACAAGTGGTTTTCACATTACAGCAAGAAACAGTCAACTGTTTGTGATATGCAACAATCTTAGTTTTTTTTCGTGATAAATGATTGTCTCATGTTTACAAGTGATGGATGAAGAGTTTCATCAAAGGAAGTAGTGAAAAACAATCGTACTTTTCGTCGCTGAACAGAGTAATACTGTGATTCTATCATTCACCATGTAGTAAATGGTTACATCCTAGCGAGTTATGCGCGGTGTAGTAAACGGTTACATTCTAGTGAGTCATGCACTATGTAGTAAATGGTTACATCCTAGCGAGTCATGCACCGTGTAGTAAACAGTTACATTCTAGTGAGTCATGCACCGTGTAGTAAACGGTTACATTCTAGTGAGTCATGCACCGTGTAGTAAACGGTTACATTCTAGTGAGTCATGCACCATGTAGTAAACGGTTACATTCCTAGTGAGTCATGCACCATGTAGTAAACGGTTACATCCTAGTGAGTCATGCACCGTGTAGTAAACGGTTACATCCTAGCGAGTCACATCAATATAACCAAAATGTGGGTGATATAGCTTTTGTTTTTTATGTTCGCTTCATTTTCTTGAATTAAAAACGGTAACATACAGGTTTTAACAACTCATAAATAACAATTCAGAACTCCTTTTATGCATGGATAAACATCCAATTGAAAAAGAGTATCCATACAAAGATGTAGTAAACGCAATCAAATACAGAATGATTTTAAACTACAATGACATAAAACCAGCTTACTTTTCTTAGTTGGGTCTATACGGTCAGTATAAATGTAAGTAAGAACAAGTTCAAAAGCTTCAGGAACAGCATCTTTCAACTTGACCTGCAGTAAAAGTGTGTTCCGCTTTCCTGACATTGGGTGGTAGTCACTCACAGCAGTTTGCTCCAGCTGCTCGACAAAAAACAACGTATTTTGTACTCATCAAACCTTTTTCCTTAAAGTATGTATTTAACACAATAATAAATGTAAAGCTTGTTCTTTAATCCTCTCGCTACAGGTATACTTTACTGCACATGACACAAGGTTTTAGTGTTTTACATTAAAAATTTTATCAAACTACTTTTTGTTTATGTTAAACTAATTAGTATAGCATCAAATCTTAGCTAATAATCCATATTTTAATAGTATATGTTTTAAGTTCTTAATTTTATAAGGCAATATTTAATAGAATCCTGAATTTCCTATAATATGACACACACATGACACATTTTCTCTAGGTATCTTCTCATCTCTATTTTATCCACCATCCCCTCCAAAAACTGCAAAATTAAACATAAATTACTCAATATATAATCGTCACTGCTCAGACAAACCATAATTTTTTATAGACTTCAATTTTGTTTGGTTAGAGAACTATCAAATAGAAAATCAGATCCCTCCTGCCACACCCTCTCTTTCAGGATTTGTCTTATGTTTAATTATATATCACCTATAACCAATAGAAAGCCAAGGTTTTCATCTATCAAATGATGTTTTCTATTATGTTGTGTTCTGAACACAGGATAGCCAATTTCACTTGTAATACAACTTTTGTTCTCACGGGAATGACAACAGCTAGCTTGGGTGAATTTGTAATGGCTCTTGTCACATAGTTAAAAATCCAGAAACATTGTGCTTGTTAGAAGAAATTGTCTGCTTTTTGCATGTTATTTGGAGCATTATTTAATTAAATAAAAAATATTTAATGCACTACTACCATTAGTACAAAAAAGTAGGGTTAAATGTCATTGATAGTCGACAGAAAAAAAAAAGAATACTCAGGTAAGTACTTTATTTCTTGTTTTTCAAGTTAATTCTTTAATTATTATTATAAAATAACTAAAATGTAAAAATAAAGATCTTTTTAAGCTAGTTAAGGTTAAATTAGGTAAAATAAACAATAATACTAATATAATAAAAATATTTCACGAGGCACACGTAAGCAGCTTTTGTGTAGCTTGCGAGTAATGTAATTTGATAGCGTAAAGTGAGCTGCACGTTCTACAAGTGATTTACAACTTATAATGGCATGAGTTTTAGTGGTTAGACATAGTTCAAAGGGCAATAAAACAATGAAATCTAATTATAAATAGATGTATACTGTTACGAGTTTAAAACTACTTAGGATAAATGATTGTAGTTTCATGCTACATTTGAAATCATTCTAGAAAGAAAAGGAGGGTAATTTAGACTTATTACGATTTTTTTTGGTGGTTACAAGGTCAGTCAAATTGACCAACCTCGTATAGAGTTAGGGTCGAGAAAATAACAGATAAAGTATAAAGTTTTACTGAAAACAAACATTTGAAATGTATTTAGGAGGTTTTAGGCTTTTACACAAATGAAATTTGAGATTTTTGAGATGAAGAAAAGTATTTTTAATCTTAACATGAAAATCATTTTGCACACGAACTATTCAAAATAAATACTCAATATATTCATGGACAAATCTTCTTTTAGTTTATTAAAAATACTTCCCTAAAAAAATAAGATTTTTTGTATGTGAAAGGCTTATAATATTTACTGAAAGACTAACAAATTTTGTTAAGATATACACACTGCGTCAAGTCTATAAAGACTTTATACGAGTACAAAAAAGTCACGTGGTCAGTCAAATTGACCGAGCCCATGGGAGAGAGTTAAAGTATGTATTTAACACAATAATAAGTGTAAAGCTATATTAGTCTATCTTACCATTTCTCTGTGTCTGTCTCTTGCTTGTCGAACCTTGTTTCTTAACCAATGGGAACGAGCTGCAACAAACCCTATGTGTGCAGGAATCTTGTGCTCTTCCTACGCCCAAGAATGTAAGTTATCCACAGTTTAACAAAATTATTAAAATTTGTTTGTAGACCTACATGTACTTTAACAACTATTATCTTTTAAGCTTAAGACAAAAAAAAGGATATTAATGTTTAAAAACTACACTTTAAGTCAACAAATCTCAGGGTTAAACTGCATAACAATATTCAAAATTATTATAGTTATATACGACACAGTATAAACTCAACAACTTCTACTTTTAAACTCAAAGGGAAGATTGTAAAAAAAACTGTTTAAACTCCACGACTGGAAAACATTATTACACGGAAATTTCCCACTTTTCACCGAAAAGAAACTGTAACAATGTTTAACACTGCAACAATGATTTCACTCTTTTTTCAGTAACTATACATTAACTTTAAACACTAATTTATAATGAATTAAAGATTTATGATTTTTATTATTCACTCACCTCTCCCACCAAGAACTCTACGTCACAGAACTGCCGACTCTCTAATAATTTACCAAAATCTTCGTGTAGGGTACATTTAGGATAACAGGAGAACTGGAAGCGAAACATTTCTCCACTACGAACGTTGTTGTCAACAGTTCCTCCAAATATGTACATGGCATCCCCAATCACAGCTGCAGCATGAAAAAGTCTTCCCGAAGGTACCTGACGATTAACGCATCAATTTTCTTAAAATCAACCAGCTAATCTTTAAAAGGAAATGTCCTCAACTTTAAAAACGACAAAATTTAAGTTTCATTTCTTTGAAGAAAAGTTAACAATATCTGTGTGTATATATATATACAATGTCTTTGTAATGCAAGTTAAGTCCTCAAAACAAAACATTTGAAGAAGAATGATATTTATAGCACAAAGTTAACCCTTTTAGTGTGTAATTAAATTTTGGGTGGATTATTGAAAAGTGTTAATTATCCACTAACAAAATCCACTTTTGCTCGGTGATGTACGCACGTGTAGTACTAAGGCAGGAAATTCAAGGACATGCGAGTACTCTAATTGTTACACTAAACTGTAAAGTTTTTGTGACACGATGGGGTAAATCCACTTGTTTCACCAAATGTTTATAAATGTTAAGTCAAATAAATCCCATTATAGCATCCAAAGGATTAAGGGACTGACAAACAAAAATAAATGCATATACATTTAGTCCTTGTAAACCTAGAAATAAACATTATGTATGTGATCCAACTAAACAAAATTTGAAAAGTAATGAAGGGATTTGAATAAAGTAAAGTGACAGTTTTCGAGAAAAATGTCGTAAAGCAATTTGTTCATCTAAACTTGAAAAAGGAAATTAAAAACGAAGTTTTTATAATAATTGTCCTTAAAAAAAACATTTAAAATAAAGAGTGGTTATCTGAATAATACGAACATTATAATTATACTTTATATACTGCATAATGCATTTCATATTGAAAAGTTTGTTAAATCGCAATTAAAAACAATTATTTTCATGCTATCCTTAAAAGCAACTGGAACTGTACTCTTGATAGCTTTGATATGATATTTACTAACTGACCTCACTATCCGGTGATGGCTGGATTATTGACCAAAGTTGCGAGTCCAAGTCGAAACTAGAAGATTTAAAAAATATTTTCGTAAAAATCCACGACAACTTTTTTCGAATAGTTAGTGGGAAATTTAAAGATAGCATTTAACACAACAAGTTTATGAAATCTTTTCCTGCAGGATGTAGATGATATCCTATTAACAGATTTGATTGATCTTTAAAAGGGTACAGCTAATAAAGAAAAGTTGGAATAAACTTCAATAGATCTTACACAGAAGTTTTAATGATGATTCCTTCAATCTGACTAGACTGACCAAGTTTCAGTTTTGCTGACATGCCGACAAGGATTTCACCTTGAGGAATAAACATGTAAGTTCTGTAAACATTTATTTGGGGAGGTTCTCCTCATTAAAATCTGTATTTGGTTACCAATAGAATTCTTTTTACAGTTCTGAGTTTTGAAAATATTTCTGCTGTACAACACATTAGATTCATTCTGTTTGGTGAACAATTTCGTTCCTCTCTATCTTGGATCTCGACATATCACCTGTTCATATCCATCCTCTTGCATGGGGTCAAAGATGTTGTCTTCTTCGTGTTTATATGACACACATGAACACGTACAGAAAAATTCCAAGTGTGCATTTCAGAAGTGAAGTTACAGCATGCACAAACAGAAGCCACTTGTCAAACCAATGGTAGTTGAACCTACTGACAGGTACATTCTGTTTGTCTTTAGTCAGTATTTTGTTGATCAGAAAAATAAAGATTAATTAATCATTACATATTCCAAAATTATGTTAAAAAGCATTGTCAACTGATTACAACAGCATAATGTAGTTATTGCAGAAAGAAGATTTATGTATGCATTAACTTTCCTTCATGCCATTCTGTTTTTGCAAGAGGAATATAACCAGCATCTTAAAAAGGAATCCAATCTTTAAATGCTTGTAACAGAAGTGCATCAGTCAGTAGAAGCATTAAATTGCTGTGTAAAACAGTGGAAGTTACTGGACATAGAATTTACCACCTTTCATATTCTGTAATAACTGTAATGCTATTTTCAACTGTTATTAACTTGTTCTATTATAAAAGACAGGAGCTCATTCTAATGCTGACACTCAACTGGTGAAACAATACAATACACTCCAAGAGACTGTAAAATCTGAGGGTTTATTGTAAAAGAAGTCATCGTGGAAAAAGACTGAAGCAGGTAATGTGACTTTCAACTTTGCAAAATTGTCCAAAGAATGCCTGTAGTCATTGACATTGGGTATATACTACCCGAAGCAGGCAGTGTCATACACGCACGTCTCTCTGAGAACAGACTTTACGATATACGAGTAAGCAGTTAACCAGATAGTCTTCTCCATGGAAAGATTCACAACCACCAAGTATTAAAATGTGCTCTCTCTGGATTCAGTGTGACCACCTATACTAGCTTAGTACTACTTGCATTGTACAGGCACAAGAAGAGTAAGATGTGGTTGCATATTGTAATGTGACTCCCATGACTCAAAGATCACAAGAAAGAGAGGCTTAAAAGACCAGCTTTCATACCCAAAGGTTCTCAGGATGCTGAATTTATGATTAAAGGCACTTTCCATAACTGAAGATGGAACATTAATTTCGGTGTATGTTATAGAGGAGTTAAGATTCTGGTCATTTTTGTGGTTTTTAACATTTGTAGGATAAGAAGAACACAATACGTGGAAATACAAGACTTGAAGAGTGGACAAAATTCCCTTATTCTTTTCTTTTGTCTTTTTATTTGAAATATTTTACAAAATCACAATCTATTAGGAAACCATTAGATATAAAATTACAAGTTACAGATACTCTTGAAACCTGTGTTGGAAGAAATGACGATACTTTGATATAAATATACATAAAATTAATGAAATTTATACATGCCACATAAACCAAAAAAAACTCATTCTTACACTGTAATATGCTGATATCATCAAGTTTTTACTGTCAAAAGTATAATACAAAGTTTACTAACCAGTGTAGGTCATTAGGTAAAGTACTGTCTGCTGCACCACCAAAGACGTAAAGATGACGATCAAATGCCACCATCGTGTGTCCATAGCGGCGTGTTGGTGGTGGTGGAGCTCCACGTAATATATGGTCAGTAGATATTCGAGTCCAGCTGGAATTGAAATTAGTTAAAATAGACGATGAATATCTACAATAAGACAATCATTAAATAAAAGTCTACCAGATCCAGGTGCATCGATTCAATGCATCTGTTGAAAGGTTTATTTTATCTTATTGCAAAGAAAAAAAACTAGCTTGAAACTTTAAAAACAGTTTATATTGTAGCTTCTGCAAATAAAATATTTATTTTTTATGTAACATTTGTATGAAATTGGCCCAGCATGGCCAGATGGTTAGAGTACTCAATTAGCAATCTGAGGGTCGTGGATTCGAATCCCCATCCCATTAAACATGGTCACCCTTTCAGCCATGGGGGCATTATAATTTGACAGTGAATCCCACTTTTCGTTGGTAAAAAAGTAGCCAAAGAGTTGGTAGTGGATGGTGATGACTAGCTGCCTTCCCTTTAGTCTTACACTGCTAAATTAGGGATGGCTAGCGCAGATACCCCTCGTGTAGTTTTGTGCAAAATTCAAACCAAAACATTGTCTGAAGTTACAGCTTTGAAATTTTGAAAGTATTTCATTGTGATATATTTCTTTAAAAAAAAACAATTAAAAATGTTTACATTTGTTGCAGATTTTAATTATCAATGTTAAATTATCCTAGAAGGTTTTTATCTTATAAAATTGTAAATTTTATCTTTGTTTTGATTTAAAAAACATTGCACGTAGAGTCACTGTGTTTATAATCAGTTGTCTACAATTAAAAGAACTTTATCACACCAAAATCATAAGCAAGCTTACTTTTTTTTTAACTGTTTATCAGAAGGTTTTATTTAACAAATGTAATAAGCTTTAAACCTGTTATATATTTTTTTTACATTTATTTTCAGTGATTTTCTTTGAACATCCAAGTGGTTACTTAGGCCAATAAGATCCAAGTAACAAAAAGGCCTAACAGAGCAGCCTTGTTAGCAAACCAAAACTTGCTATGGTCAAATGCTAAATGATTTAATTAAGCCTATCTCATTTTGTTTCCACAAAAAACATTTCTGTTCCTATCATATGGAAACATTAAATTTCAAATGAAGTATAAAATGATAAAGAAAAGTTTTAAAAAAAAAATCAGTATTGTACTTGTAGCAAAAATTGTTAACAAACAATTTTTTTTTCTAGAAAAATATCACCATGCTTAGATTTTATCACTTTTTTCCAATTTCTAAATAAATCTCTGTTGAACTAGAACCAATACTGGCTTTCCTTGTGTACTTATGTCAATATTCTATGTCTTCTTGAAGCTGGGATTAGACATCACATCATGACAAATGAGGTTGACAAAATGTGATTGGCTAAAAATCGATAAAACTATATTCGTATTGTATCTCAAGTTACAAGGTCAAGTTAGCAATAATTTATTCAAAACTACTATGACTTTTTTTCCTAAGGGGTTACCAGTGCTGTATTATGCTCAGAAAAAGTTCACGTTATTCACAAAAAAAATAATGATTTTGTTTGAAGTATGCCGAAATCAGTCCAAAATCAATACTTTTTTAATTAATTAATTTTTAATTAATTAAATTTCAATTTCTTCTATTTTTTAATAATATGTGGAAAAACTTCATTTTCTCGGGACAGGCATGACAGAGATGATGTTAGTTTTCAGTTAACAAGATTACGTACTATTTCTCCTTGAAATGAAACTGAAAGAGACTGTTTGTTATCTTGGCACCACTCTGACCAGAAAACACAAACATACTATCTCTTGCTACAGCCACTGGAAAGTTGCAACATGTGGGGGGACAATCTCCCCGTTGAGGAACCTGAAATTAACAAAACATATTAAAATAATACTTACACATGGACATACACGTACTTATATTTTATTCCCAAAATTTCTCATTCCTGTGTTAGGCCTAAAGATGTTGTACGTAGCCATGTACCAAACATATTTCCACTAAACAAGAACTTTGTATATGTTCAACAATTAGAAAATGTATCTTTAAAAATACTGTACTTTATTAAATATAAATAAAAGTTTTGTTTCACATGGGCCTTACTCTGTACATGATGTGTTAAAGAATAAGCAATAATGTATGTACAAAATATATGTTTAAATATTTTGTTGAGACAAAAAAATGAAACACATATATATATATACACACTAATCTAGACCATCATTGAAGTCTGTGTGTCCACTTATAACCAACAAATTGCTGGGCTGATTACCACAAAACCTGGCACATACCATTATAGCACCCTGGGGATTGACACAGGAGGTCAACATTTGGATCTCACCCCCCCACCACCATGTCATCCAATGGGGAAACTCTGTGTCTTCCCCACATGTAGAACAGGTACAGTGGCTAGGTTTAATAAATTCAAGAAAATTCTTTTCTACTTATAACCAGTTTCAGGAGGCATGCGTCTATGTATTTTGTCATACATTTTAAACCTTACGTAACTAAAATCCTGTAATCTGTTAACAGACCTTGTTGCTCGTACTTACTTCTTCCCACGACTTTGAGTCTCCTAACAAAGAGAATGTCCACATGTCATTTAACCTGGCATTGCCATTGTAGCCGGCAAATATCCACAGTTTACCATCATAAACTGCAGCACCATGGGCAGATCGTGGAACTGGCATTCTACGAACACTGTAAAAACCATCATCGACTTTAAACGTATAAAAACAACTTTATGTTCGTGCAAGAGTTTATATACCAATTTAAATTTGGGAACATACAAATGTTACCAGATTATAAGTTTGTCTTTTATAAAAACACTCAATTTTTTATTAATATACACAATATTAATAACATTTGTTTTACAGAAATGATAATTAAATGTTACCAGATTATAATTTTGTCTTTTATAAAAACACTCCATTTTTTATTAATATACACAATATTAGTAACATTTGTTTTACAGAAATGATAATTAAATGTTACCAGATTATAAGTTTGTCTTTTAGAAAAACACTAAATTTTTTATTAATATACACAATATTAATTACATTTGTTTTACAGAAATGATAATTAAATGTTACCAGATTATAAGTTTGTCTTTTAGAAAAACACTTCATTTTTCCTAAATCTGCTGGTTAGTTATGTCTAATTATATATATATATAATTTCCAATATACAGAATAATTATTTTTCATTATTTTCAAGTACAAATATTATTCAGTGTACCAGAATAATAATAATAATAATAATTATTATTATACCAGATTAGTATAAGATTTTCTATAAAATAAAAAAAAATTACATTCTACAACTACACCATGTATTTTATATAAACATTTCAAACTGTTCTAATTCCTGCTTATTTTACTCTTCACGATCTGACCTTTAAAAGTCAATTCACCATTGTGACGAACTGAAACAATGGACATTTCTCTAAACTAATATCCAAATAAAAACAATAAGGAAATAAAAATTTTTAAATATTTTATAGAAAATGAAATCTGTTTTACATCAACTAACACGTCAGATATATACTGAGAATGAATCAATTTTCCTTCAACAATTTATTAAGCGTGGTATTAAAAAAAAAAAACACCTATTTCTCATCTCGATACTTTTACAAGGTCTTTAGCTTTACAAACACTACACTTACAAAACAAATTCATTGATAAAACAAAACAGAAATATTGCTTACTTTCCATCAAAAAACCTCCATTCACTCCACAGACCAGTGGTAAACTTGTATTCAAAAAGATCATTCTTGTTTGTTAAATTGGAGTTAGAATGAATATCTCCCGTGTAGCCTCCTGAAAAATTGAGTTTTATTAAAGCACAATAAATAATAACACAAGATGAGTATGTTTTATTAAACAAGTCATCACGTGCAAGAATTACCTCCATTCAAACAGAGGTTTGTCAACTACATCCAATTATTGAGGTAATGATACGGAAAACTAGCAACGAGAGGTGTCAAAATGAAATAAGTTTTTTTTTACCTCTGGTCTTTTTGGTGTATTGAATACTATACCGAAAATGGTAAAACATTTTTTTAACAATAGAGTTCATAATCACACTAAAGCTTCTCTGGACTTGTAATTTAGATTTTGTGTAAATTAATAAATAAAAACTATTTGCAGGATACGTATTAAGATTACTAAAAAAGAAATCCCAAACCTCTAAACTTATTGAAAAGCTATATTGTATTAATATATTTAATTGTAAGTAGGAATTACTAGATACCATGGAAAATATCTGAAGGTTAAATAAGTTTAGATATTTTACGCATTTTTGAAGTTTTAAAAGGCTTTATATTTAAGAAATAGCTTTATTGAAAAACATTAAAGATTTAATATTAGTTGAGGAAGAATTCAGGGTATATTTTGGTCCAAATTTGCCCGAAAACTAGAACAATTTTCGTTTTGTTGAAATTTGGGCAAAACTTCTCGAGAGCTATATATGCTAGCTGTCCCTAATTTGGAAGTGATGGACTAGAGGGAAGGCAGCTAGTTAACACCATCCACTCCCAACTCTAAAGGTATTCTAATCAAATATTGGGATTGAGTGTCACATTATAACTCCCCTATGGCTAAAAAGACAAATATGTATGGTGTTTATTTGTTTTAAATTTCGCGCAAAGCTGCACGAGGGCTATCTGCGCTAGCTGTTCCTAATTTATCAGTGAAAGACTAGAGGGAAGGCAGCTAATCATCACCACCCATCACCAACTCTTGGGCTACTCTTTTACCAACGGATTTGAACCCGCAACCTTCAACTTGCGAGTCGAGTGCCCTAACCACCTGGCCATATGTAGAGTGATGGGATTTGAACTCAAAACCCACAGATAGCAATCCGAGCACCCTAACCACTAGGCTATCCCAAGCACTTTGAAAACAAATGGAAAACTTACCAAAAACAAACATGCTGTTTTCATGAACAACTGAAGAATGATGATACCTTGGTGCTGGAGGACATCCTGTTGTAAAGGCTCTGAAACCACCCAACCCCAAAAAACAAACTATAAGCTAATCAAAGTAAAATATAATTACATAAAAAACACAGAAATCCTTATTCCAGTTACTACATATAACATGTTTAAGATGTGAATGACAAACTTAGGAAGTCTTGAAATAAAAGTTAAAAAATCCAACTTAACAACGGTTAACTTCCGAGTCACTTCCACACTATGATAATTAAATGAGTAAAAATCAATAAAACCTTTAACATCTAAGTAATTTTTATTACAAAGCAAGATCTATGAATATTTCAATTTAATGTAATCAATACCTATAGTTTAATACTATTACCACTTGTTTAATATATTCCAATTTTTATGGTTTTAACGCATCTGAGGAAAGGCATTCTGCCAGAAATATCATACTAATAAAAAAAATGCTTGGAGGTAGTATTAATATTACATCATTAATTGTATGCCCTTCTCACACTTCAGGGTCACTTTTAATTTTATTTTAATGTTTTCTCTCATAATAAATGAAAGCGATCACAACATCCTTAATATGTGCACGACCTCAGGCACTCACCTGCCCCAAGACTTATCCTTAACATCGAATCTCAACAAGTCATTCAACATGTGTTTCCTGTATGAAAGCAGAACAGCAATCAGTATTGTACAACAATACTTTGACATTAATTAAAATTGTAATTATAGAATCTGTATTTGTAGAAGTAGTAATATCTTTCACAATAAAATCAAAACTTGAGAACCTTATATAGTTTTCTAACACATTTCATGGAAATTAACTTGTAACTGAAGTCTGAAAAGTCCTTGGTTAAATCAGTTTTTCAGTTTGCACAATATATTTTGAGTAGGAAACATATAGAACAATAAACAGTTAGGGCACATTACAATTAACCAAACATTTACTCATTCTTCTTGTTTTTATACATGCTGGTACAATGCATTTCTTTTTATCAATTAATTCAAACCTAACTTAAAACACATTAAAAAGCAATGCTACAAAGAAAAACCATGAGAAGACTTGCAGACGCGTTTGTTCATGTTTCTAGTTTATTTATCTCGCTATTGTTGAAGCTTTGTTTTAGATACTGACACACAGTTGAAACTAAAAGTATCAAAATTAATACCTTACGACAAAAACGAGTTATACCATACAAACACATTTCTTCATCCTCAAAAAAAAACATGTTATTGTGTGATAAATTTTGGCCATAAGTGTACGTCAGATACTGTTCTTGTTTTGTTTTTCGAGGATAAAAGAAAGCATTTGTATGGCATAAGATATTTTCTTCACAAGGTAATGATGTCTGGAAATAGCCACTTTGAATACATTGTATAAAATGTAATAAATAATTCATGTCTATTTATTAATTAGTAATTCAAACACAAAGTCATAATAATTAGTAAAGGTTTTACAATGAGAAAGAAACTCATATGTCTCCTAATTTTCACAAGAATTGAGGAAATGGCTCAATAAATATGCATGAAAATTTGTACATCTAAAGACTGATGACAGTTTAGAAGTGCAGTTTTCAGAGAGCTGAAATTTTTTATCTGTTTTCTCCAAGTAAGATACATTATCCTGAGTTGGATTTTTTTGGAAAAAAGATCAGGTAACTTATAAAATCATAAATGATTTATGAAACATTAAAAAAAGATTTTACGATATATATATATATTTTTTAATCCAAATAATTGTAAGTACTTTAAAAGATCAACTTGTGCCAAATCATCTGTGAAACAAAGTAGGTTTCCAAGCTCATTCTTAGCACCTAAAAGGTACACACAAACACACACATATCTCTTTGTGAAAAATTACTTTGCACTGCAAGTTAAACTCACCCATTGTCTCCTCCAAATACGTATATAGCGTCCTTGTAAGCTACAACGGTATGCTTGCTCCTTCTGTAGAGGGTGGTTTATATTCTGTTATTATACACTATTTCACTGAGCACTAAATGTTACCATAAGTACAAATGTATATGTTACAATCTGTACCACCTATATAAAACAAATGTTAATTAAAAATGCTTCTGACTATTTTAGATCTCTTAAATTTAGTTCAGAGATTTAACTTTTCATTTAAGTCTACTTTTATGATTAATTTTTCTTTGGACATTGAAATAAATGTCCGGAGAATTTTGTTCTAGAATGTGCAGTACTTTCTACAAATATCCTTTCCGAGAACATTTGAAAAACAAAAGAAATGTTGTTCGATCTTAAATTAACCACAGAGAGGAAAAATTTTGCGCTAATGTAATTGTACAGATTAGTGCGTAAATAAGAGGTAAGAAGGATGATACCTTGTAAACCATACCAGATAACTCTTATATTGAGTACATGGTAGGAAACACAATACATTGTAAAACATAATGGATAGCATAATGGACTTGGATTGTTTTCTTTAGATGTGGTAATGGTTGGTATGTATAACAGAGTAAATAAATTGTTCTTTGAGAGTTTAGAGGGGAGACCGGTTTTGATCTGAGAGTGAGAGGTAATAATAAGAAGAATGATACATTATATCACATCAATTCACATTGTTGAATGTGCAACTACTACATAAATAACTACAAAAAAATCACAGCTTGTTTGTTTAATATAATAAATGTTAAGATTCAAACCTCACCGAGCCCCAACAAACTCATCACATTCTGGCATTCTCCTCCAACGATGAACAGTCTCAAACGGGCCAAAATCGAGAGTCAAACACTCTGCACTTTCAGGCCAGTTGTGATCAAACTCCATTCCAGGTGGACGAGCTATTGCCATCTTTCTTTACAGTAAAATCTAAAGGCAGGCCTTGTTCATATGACACATCGTTTACAGCATCAATATTAAAATGGCTATGAAAATTACTTTACTTTTAGCAAATACATTACTTAATAGAACAAAGACTCCATAAATTATTTATTACATACCCAGTTATTTATTAAATTATTTAATTACATAAATTATTTATTACATACCTTTTTAATAAATACTGATACACTTTTATGGATGTATTGTGAAAAATCTAACAAAAAAATTCAACTAGTTAAGCCTAACACTGATATACTTTCATAGATGTATTGTAAAAAAATCTAACAAATCTGAATAAAAATACAGCTAGTAAAGCCTAACATTGATATACTTTCACAGATAAAAAATCTAACAAATCTGACAAAAATACAGCTAGTTAAGCCTAACACTGATACACTTTTGTAGATGTAACAAATCTGACAAAAAAATACATCTAGTTAATCCTAACATATTATTGAGCAGATTTATATACAATTAATCTGATTTAAACTTGGATAAAAACTATTTATACAAGACATAAATGTACACAATATGTAAGTTATATAATGCTTATTTTACTAGGTACACTAATATATAGCTGGTGAAGGATTACTTTCTCTCATCCATTTGCTTAACTCAAAATGATACGAAAATTTCAGTAAAAGATACTTCATGAGATACGTGTGAAGGATGTACGACTAGGTATTTAAACCCATGACTAGAAATAAGATGCGATATCAAATTTCCCTGGAAGCCTCACACAATATGACGTTACCTACTTTCTACGGCTCTCGAGTACATCAAAATCACAACTGTCCATGAGTTATACTTTATGTGAGGAATTTGTGTCGTACCACTGGTGGTACATGGAGATTATATCAGTGGTACAGGAGAAAAATTAATGCAAAAGTTATAACATTTGTAATTAGCCCAATCCAAGCTTCTCCTGTACACACTACTCTGCCCGCTAGTCTGTGAGAAGTGAAGAATGTCCTGAAAACTTTTTAATGAAAGAAAAGAAAAAAACTTAACTCTTCTTGTGATGGTAATTTGTAACAGGTTTTTTAAAGTTTCTCTTTAAAAGGTTTTAACTGAGAGTTAGAAAAAAGTGGAAATCACTACCTGACACTGCTTTAAATCTTCTAATGTTTTTTACAATTTCGTACCTGGGATGAAACTGCATTCTCAACTCTGACATCATTGAAAATAAATACAGATCAAGGCTGAATGTGACAAAAGCTTCACCCCTCCCCCCCAAACAACAACAACAACCAAATACTTTCCTCCCTTGTTTTTTGAACTGAACCTCCGTGGTATTTCATAAAAGGTTTAAACAAAAATTGATACCCAAAATATTTGAGGACCACTGCTTTAAATGATTTAATTTGTAGGGAATGTTCAAAATTGTAATTATTTTGACATTATGAAGGCTTCAGTACAGAGATCAAAAGTGTCCACTCTTCTTATACTAGCTTCAAGGAAGGTTCAATCCTTAAAATTCTATTTAGCCTATTACCTACAGTTCTTCTAAATCGAGGCTGAATCTGGCTAATTTCATTATCAAATCATTACAACTAATAAACCTTAGCCATAATAAGCATCCCACAATTATCACACATATTTTGAGTTTTAGTTTCATAAGATATATATATATATATGAACCCTAACATGCTAAAAATGTTTAAACCAAAAAAATAAAAAATATATATATATGTGGCAAATTCATTTTGTTTATTTTGTGATTTTGATAGTTTAAAATGTAAATACTGTATATCCTTTATTCTAAGAAGACAACTTTAAATGCATTAAAGTTAAATTCTTCTCACAATTCAAATTTGACAAATGATTAAGTTGAATATTAAACTTCAGATACCACTTCTACTTCGAGTATATTTTCAAGACTTTAATTTTTTTCCATCCTATATATTTGTTTGCATAATTTTGCAGAAAGCTATTCAAGAGCCATCTACACTGCTAGTCACCCCTGATTTAGCAGTGATAGACTAGAAAAAAGGTAGCTTGTCAAAATCACACACTAACAACTCTTGGGCTACTCTTTACAACAGTGGTCCCCCGGTGGCACAGCAGTATGTTTGTGGACCTATACCATTAGAAACTGAGTTTCAATACCTGCACGTAGCTTTGTGCATAATAACAAAACAGGAAGAGCAAACAGTGTAATTGATCATACATAATAACACCTTCTACAGCAGAAAGGACAAGCATGTTTGTTAATAGTTTGATCCTTAATACACATATTGTGAATTGAGTTTCCTAACCATCAGGCCATGCCAGGCCTCTTCTTTCCATTATTTTAATTTTATAACTTTCACTGTTAGTTACTGAAAAGTGTCGAAGTAGGTGAAACTGAAACTGCATTACAAAAGTGAAAGTGTTGAGTTTACTTGAGGAATACAGTGATATATTTACGGAAAACTAAAACAGCTATAAAAATAATTATTTCATGATATATTTTAATAAAAAAAATCCACCCTCAAGTATCTTGCATATAGATTTAGCTGATGTAAATTCATATCTTCAAAAACATACTGAACTTGAAAGTTGAAGATGCAATGTATAAATCATAACTTGTAAGCTGCAATAGTATTTACAAATAACTTTTCTGGTTTAACTTTATTTTTAAGCAGTATCGTTAAAACTTATATGTTAAACTAGTCTATTAAAATAATTAATAAATAAATACTTGAAAAAGCTGAAAATGAAATTTATAAATTATATACAAACCGTTAAACAGACTACGACTAAAAGATCCAATTTATCAATGAATTTTCAAAAGTTCAATCTAAATCTATATGACATTTTAAAACAAAATAAGTTATGTTTCCTAGTATATCACCAAAATCAACTCATACGTACTGACAGTGACAATAAAAACCACACCAGACAAATTGTCTTAAAATATTAGCTATACATAATATGCTGTCAATAAACTGCCTAGCTTAACCTTCCATTGAATGTTTTTGCTGTTAGCGCCATCTACTATAAAGTTATGTTAGAGCTCTGGATAATACAGCATTTTTTGTTTTTGTTTTATTTCTACAATGATAGAACATACATAACATTGTATAATATAGTTTGTTTTCTTTACAATGACTGATTTAAACAAACTTTCTTCTCCGCCTGTACTTTGTACGAACTACAGAACTTATATCAACAGTGTTTTCAACAATGAAGGTAAGCACTTGTAGAATTAACGTTATCTTTATCATTTCAAGTTTGCACTGTCGCTATAGAGTAAGCACGTTTTTCGCGATTTTTTATCTCTGTCACTGAAAATTATTCGATTGTCCAATAATATTACCTGAGCTTTGTCTAATAATTCGGGAGCAGATCCAGGATTTTGAGCAGGAGAGGGTCCAAATGGAAGAAAAAAGTAAGTAAAAGAATAAGACGGAAGGCTTTGTTTTTTTTTTATTTCGCGAAAAACTACACGAGAGCTATCTGCGCTAGCCGTACCTAATTTAG